TGGACTTTGGATCAGAGACACCCGGGTTCACGTCCAGGCTCTAGCACTATTGTGAAAACTTGGACTAACCTAAGCTCAGGTGGTGGTTTCCTCCACCTTAACGTGGGAGCCACAAGAGCACCGACCTCATGGAGTGTGTGTGGCTATTCAGTGAGGGAACACATAAGGAGCCCTGCCTGTCATAGATACTTGATCAATATTAGCTCTTATCAATTAGCAAACACACATGTTTCTGACCTCCCAAATTTCCAGAACACTTCTTCCCATGTTTTCTTCTGTGTTTGGTTTTATTGCTCCTATAACTCCTCAGATGGCAGTCTCCCTGACTGATTATCTTCTTCTTGTGGCCCAGCAGGACGACAGGACCCCGACTTGGCTTGGGAGTGAGCTGGAGTGAGGTGAGTAACTTTCCTTAAATAGCGGCTGGCAGAAGTCAGTAGACAGACAAACACGTCAGGTAAAGTCTACTTTGGCATTGGTAGCCATCCCGGAGGGAACCACCAGAGACCTGGCCCCTCGCTGCTTCCTGCTGCCACAGCTGGCTCCCATTTGACCCCACGATTTGTTCTCTCTTCCCCAGGGGTGAAGCAACACCGCCTTCTAGCCGGGACGCAGATGCGAGCTGTTGCGAAAACGTTCAGATCCCACTGCTGGCACCATGTCCTCAGGAGCCCGTGAGCTCTGCCCAGGTAGTCAACCTCCACTTCTCTGGATGATTCCTGGAATTGTGGGGATGCCTCCAGCTGAGTTATCCTAAGAGGAATCAGTTCCTTGAAGAGCTTCCTTGAGCCCCTAAGCGGGGGTCAAAGGGAGTCCCCAGCCCAGGGGTCTGTAGGGGACACCTCCCTCCTGTCTTCTCAGGGTCATGGCTGAGATGCTCACTTCCTCCCTCCCCCTGCCGCCCATCAAATCCATCAAATGACCCAGAAGTGAGGCCAGGAGAGCCCACTGGGAGGTGGGGGACAGCAGAGGGGAAAGGAGGGAAGAAAGGGGTCCTGAGGCAGGGCAGGGGGAGGAGGTAGACCAGCAACCTTGGAGGCTTCTCCTGCCCTCTTGCCCTGTCCAAGCCTCCAGCATGGCTAAGGATGACTGTGGGGCTTCACAGCAGAGGCTGTTTCCTCCAGTTCTCACCCTGTTGCCAGCCTGACTGCTCTGTGATGGTCAGTGGGCCACTGACCTGGACCCCAGTCTGGCCTTTGCCACCTCCCACCTGTGTGACCTGGAGTGCCTTACCTAACCTTACCTGTAAAATGAGAATATTTCCCTATGTGGTTATGAGGTTTGGGCCAGGACCTGCCACACAGTATGTCCTCCCTACGTATGGTTGCTGTCCCCTCTACCTGGAACCTGTTAATTCCAGGTAGAAACCTCCCCTCCCCCAGCAACCCCTGGCCCCCCATGGCTATGTTAGGGCACTTGTCCTGTGTCCCGACTATAAGCACCTGCTTATGAGATATGAAAGCAGGGCAGGACCTGATTCTATTGATCTCAGTAACCCTGCGTAGGCCGGCTCTCAGCTATTCCCCACCACCCCACGCCCCAATCAATAAATACACATTATTTAACCCTGTAGGTTCCCCCCAGCTAAGCCCTGGTTTCCCTCTCCCTTAGCGGAGCAGGAAAAGAAAAATCTAAATAACCTTTCATTTTTTCCTTTCCATCTAGAGAGCAAAAGCCTTCTGGAGGATATCATTGAGTCTGTCCAGAACACAGTGAGCTTCGAGGAACTGCACTTCCTGCTGACTGACCATGAAGCCTGGGAGGCATTCTTGACTGAGGCCACGTTGTCCAGGTAAACCTCCGGGGTTACCCCGGCATGGTCACCCTGGTGTCTGTGGGACAGTATCATGGGGTTGGGGTTGAGTATGTTCCTTCTCAACAATCCATGAGGAATATGTCCTCCATGACATTCACTGACAGTGAATGGCCTCGGATTGAGACAAGGTGAAACCTGCAGAGTGACCTTGGTCCTTTACATAGAGCGGACCTGTCTCTGTCTTTGTCTCTTCATCTGTTCAATTTTATCAGGAGGAGATGAAGATAATGCATGTAAAGTGCTTAGCATAGTGACTGACACATAGTAGGGTCTCAATTAATGTTAACTTCTTAGAAGATTGCCGAGAAGGGACAGGGGCCAAGGGTCTTCTTCCTAGAGATGAGGGCCAAGCAGGACTTCTTCTGGGACAAGTCAGAAGAACACTGACACCTCAGTCTGTGCCCCTGGGGATTCGGACTAGAGTCTTCCCTCCCATCTAAGGAGTTACATGAACATGCAGGATCCTGCTGACCCATGAGGCAGAGAGGCTAGAGTGGAATTGGACCGAGCTGGGTTGGACCCTGACTCTATCTCTGCCGACCTTTGGGGCTCTCTGGCTCTGGATGTCTTGGAGTCTCAGGTTTGTCATTTGTTCAATGGACACACTAATGCAATCTGATAAGATTGTGGCGAAGGACTTTGTGTGAATTGTGGGGTCAAAGGTGAGGAACCAAGGGCAGTCATCCTGTCCAAAGGCCCAGGAGGCTTGGACCAGGGCCAGAGTTGGGGGTTGGGATGCACAAAGGGGTTGTGGGGTCTAGGTTGGAGGACTAGGTAGGCTTGGGCAGCAGGGCTGGAACTGAGTGAAGCTCTAGAGCACAAAACTTGAGGAGACCAGGGACCTAGCAGAGGTCCTGTGAGAGGGAGAGGGCACATTTCTCCCCTCCCTTCTTTGATCTCCTCACCGCTGGGCATCAGGGGCCATGGGGGTTGTTTCTTCCATACCTTGCCTTGGAGCTGGGGGGTCGTGACGCCCATTTGGAAGCCTCTTCTCTTCTCCCTAGAGCAGCCCCAGACCAATAGGAGGCAGTGTGGCTTTGTGACAACTTCCAGCTCCACAGGGGGAAGCTGCCGATTCTGTACTCTTTGGGGGATTCTGAGCCTGAGAAGTCCCCACCAAAGAGGAAAGTACTTCCTGCACCAGCTTGCCCAAAAGCAGGTCTTCTCCGGCTTAGTGATTCAGATAGAAGGTTGTCAACGTCTCTTGCATCTTTAAGAGATGTCATAGAGTTGCACATGGCCTTGGTGTACATGCATACAAAGCTGTCACCAGCTAAGGTGTGATTTAGGCGGGTGACACCTGTGTGGGAGGGGGTGCTGGGTGGTGGGTCAGGAGTCCATGGTGTGAGCTGGAGAGTCTGAGGGGAACCAGGGTGGTGGGTGTCCTGCTTCTCAGTCAGTTGGGGCAGCGCCTGGTCCCCAGGAGAGGACATGGGGCTTGGGAGAGAGAGCAGGTGCCAAGCAAAATGATCATTAAGGTCCCTTCTCGCTCTGCGGTTTTGTTTTCTTAAATTCCAAGTACCCAGAGTTAGCCAAACTGCAGAGTCTGAGAACACAATCCCTAAGACTGCCCTTACTTTTGGCACCAACTGCAAATTGGGGGGGTCCCCAAACCACCCGGAGATTGGATGATGCCCTGGAAGCA